GTCCGCAAGTACGGGAAGGGGCTGCAGCACTACCTGCTAACCTTGGCCTCCATCGCCTCCCGGCTCTACGCCCATGCCAGCCTAGAGAACCACGTCCGGCTGGCCGTGGTGAAGGTGGTGACCCTCGGGGAGAAGGAGAAGGGGCTAGAGGTCAACAGGAACGCCGCCACCACCCTCAAGAACTTCTGCAAGTGGCAGCACCAGCACAACCGCCTCGACGACGACCACGACGAGCACTACGATGCCGCCATCCTCTTCACCCGCGAGGTAGGCATCACCCCAACCAATGGCAGCTCCGTCTCCCCTTGGAAGACGTGTTGTGGGGCAGCTGGGCTGCAACGAGGTCTGCCAGCCTCTGGCCCTTCTGCCGCATTGCCCCGCTTTCCCCTGTGGTTGCCTTCCCACTCACGCCTTCAGCTTTTTTGATGGGTTGCACTGCGTCTCGGGGACCAGCACCCACACACACACAGCTTCTGAGGATGGAGTAGGAGCTGAAAACCCAACAAATTGTTTATGTGCTTCTGTGTACCCCTTCTCCAGTCAGGTCATCCCCGTTGCAGGTACACAGTCATTCGTGCCAGTGCGGTGCTGGGACTCCTGCCAGTGTGGGGAGGTGGTAATTTGTCTGACTGGGGGACTCGGCTGAGGCCACCTAACTTGAGTGATGACGTTGTTCCGCCTTTCCCAGTGAGACACTTGACACACAGCCCCTCTCTCTCCAGGGAGGTGGTCTGGGCCAAAAGGACTGATAGCGCTCCATAGCCTAAATTGCTCCCTAAACAAGCCTGCTAGCGAAAATGGTAGAGAGCGTCTTAAAAGTACATGCGACTTCCTTGTTGAGTGTGTGGAGATGCTATTTCCAGCAAGAGTAGCTCCACCACACTGGAAGCTGGCAGCGCTCGTGGTTCAAGGGTAGGACGTAAATGCAAACCACAGGTAAACAGAGCTGCAGAAGCTGAGTGAGTTGGACTCATGGTGAGAGGACGCGGTCTCTTTCCCGTTCCTCAGTTGAAAAACGGATGTTCTGATCAGCTCTGGGATCTGGCCAGTATTACCCATGCAGAGCAATGCCTTGCTCCCTGCCTGATTGTTAATTAATGGCGTTGCCAGAGGTCGTTAAGGGACATTGCTCTAGTAGACATGTGGCCAAGTTTATGCAATGAAGTTCGGCTGTAAGAATATCCCTTCAGCGGTTTGGGTTTGGTGTTTTCTTTTTTCCTGTCCCCAAGTACGAAAAAAATAACTGCATGACTTTCCGTTCATTTGAGTTCTGCTTTTCTACATCACAGGAGCCTGCCAAAAAGGATGCTTTGGATGGTTTGTGGAAGGAGTTGCTCCAGAAGGGGGAAAAAAAAAGTGCCTGGCTTGCTTTTATAGCTGTAAATAGTTGAAACATTAGGTTCTGTGTCAGTCAGGCATCACTTGTACAGCAGGAGCCTTTTTTAGCAGTTTAAAGCCCATCAGTCCAATTTACAAGCTTTCCTTTTTTTTAATCATTATAATCTGAATGAAAGCAGGCTACCTAGGCTGTGTCAGGATGCTCTTGCTTTTTGCTATAAAAGTCCTTTCTAATGGCTTAATAATTAATCCTGGGCCAGAATCCATCACTTTTCACTAAAGTGTGTTTTTCTCTGCTGGTATTCCCATTTGTTTCCCTGGGATTTGTTACAATTCAGAAACTCTTAGAGTGGCAGGCTGTGAATCCTAACATCAATTACCAAGTTAATTGAGATTGAGATAGGATTTGAATTTAAAGTGCACTTGCTTTGCAGATGCTTATCCGTGATTCTTTGCATGGATGCACTCCTGCCACACTAAGAGCATGCTGCTAATCAGTAATCCACTTTCAAAGAACTTGGGCCATGCATCTTCCCTGTGTAGAGTCACTTCCTTTGGATGTAAGTAGTAGCTAAAGTAAGCAAAAGTGTCACAGTTCCTGTGGTCTCCTTCCACCCTTAAGATGCAAATATTGTTTCCACTGTTACTTAGGGATGTAAATGCTTTGTAAGGAAAACAATGCCCAGGCTTCCTTTTTCTTGGTGTACATTTTAAGACATATAACTGTGGGATTAGCTCCTCACTGCAATTCAGTATAGCTTAATCTGTGTTAATGATTTGCTGTGTGCACACGTGCATTGTTTGGTGTTGCATTTCAGTATCTGGCTCAGTAAGAACAGAACTGTAGTTTCTCGCGGCATGGGTTGTGATGTTCTTTGCAGGGGTTATGTGTGAGTTCATAGGATTTTTACATGCTTACACTTCAAATGTCAACATGAATCTATTTGCTCCGCTTGGAATATAAACACGAAAAGGGTTAAAGAATGAAAAGGCAGCACAGACATTTCCTGGAGAAAACAGCCTCACTTTGAACTACAGAGAGATTTTTTCCAGTTTAGCTTTTCAATGAGAGTGGCAGCAATTGGCAGGAGGATCCAACTTTTACAACTCTGTTTTGAATGTATGAAGTAACGTTGCTTAGCTACTAGACGCTAAGCCATGGCTGCATGTTTTGATGGGCTCTGAATACCATCATGCTAATTTTTAAACACCCAGATGTCTTCTTGTAAATGGCTTGTTTTTTAGGCATGGGGTAAATGTGTGAGGTACATTTTCCATCTTTGTTTACTAACTGAGGCCACCTTGAACTTTGTGTCTCTCTGTCAACAGAATAATATTTGCAAATCATTTGTCATCTGAACGCATGTCCTCAGCTGTATGTAACTGTTTATGTGTAGTTAGAATCTAAATTATGCATTCGTATTGCCATACAAATCTCTAATATAATAATTTTCATTGTTCTGGAGTGACATTTAGTTGGATGTTATTTTTGACACCAAAAGAGTCCCTCTGAGAAGACAGTATCTTTGTCTGAGTTCCTTGTAAAGGAAGACTCCTTTTAGGATTCAGAGGCGCTGCTTCTTCCTCTTCTGTTGTCATTACTTGTTTAAAGATAAATTAATAACCACTGGTAGACAAAGAGTATGCTGGCAGTTCTCCCTTGTTGTAAAAGAAGTACTGGCAGTTCACATTATGGTCATCATCAGTGTTCATACTAGGAGGTACTTCTATGCAAAAAGATTTTTAGAAGAAGATTTACTGAATCGGGATTAAAACATCCACTCATTTTCGGTCATAATCTGTATTTAGTTTGATAAGGGCTTTAAGGAAATCGTATTGCAGAGCATAGTAAATAGTAAATAAATGTGAACATGAGTTCAATTTTGGGTGATACAGGCAACAAGTTAAATCTGTTTTAAGGCTCTGTATTGCTTATCAGTGGTGGCAAGGACCATGTGCCCCTGGACTCAGCACTGGTGAGACCGCACCTTGAGCACTGTGTCCAGTTTTGGGCACCACAGTAATAAGAAGGATATGGAGGTGCTGGAGTGGTCCAGAGAAGGGCGATGAGGCTGGTGAGAGGGCTGGAGAACAGGCCTTGTGAAGACCGGCCAAGGGAACTGGGGTTGTTTAGTCTAGAGAAAACTGAGATGGCACCTTACTGCTCTCTACAACTACCTAAAAGGAGGTTGTGGTGAGGCTGGTGTTGGTCTCTTCTCCCAGATTACTGATGATAGGACAAGAGGAAATGGCCTAATGTTTCACCAGGGAAGATTTTGATTGGCTATTAGGAAGAATTTCTTCGCTGAGATGGAGTGGATAGGCACTGGAATGGGCTGCCCAGGCAGGTGGTGGAGTCATCATCCCTGGAGGTGTTCAAAAAACACCTACATTTACTCTGTAGGTGCAAGGAGAACAACAGTAATGTGTCTGATCATTATTGGCACCTGGGTAGGAGACTGTGAAAACCTTCAGTGGACAAAGAAATTGTTTATCACTAAGTTTTGCAGAAACTTAAGTTGGGTTCTGCAGTGATTATTTAGATTCCCAAAAGCTAATGAGAAGTATGTTTTCCTTGTGGTCTCAGTCGCTTAATCTTGACTCACAATGGGCAGTATCAAGCCTGACAGAGGTCTGACCTGTCAGTACCAAAAGGTGATAATTTTCTAATAAATCCTGTGTGAACTCTCATTAAGATGACTTGGCCTTAACAGCCTTAGAGCATACATCAGTCCCCTGCTGTTTGACTACTTTGTGGTTGAGTCCTTGACATCAGCTGTGCATTTTGGGGCTCGGAGCACCCTCCTTGGAATACGGTGATGTCAGGATTTGGTCATCTGGTGGCCAGGTGAGTCCCCTGCCCTGTGCACTGGTAGAGAAGCCACCGTGTGGTGGGAAGGGGGAGGAGCTTGTAAAGCTCTCTGCCCCGGAGATCAGCTCGCCTCCTTCTCTGTGGCAGTGAAGTCAACAGCAAATTTAGAATTTAGTCCATTTCAGGCTTTTTTATTGTGAATGGTTCTTGGAAGCTGGAAACAGGTTATCTTCAGTCTTCAGGTTTTTAGGGGTGCAACAAAATACTTGCCAGATTTTTTGTCACAGTAGGAAAATGTATTACCCATGACTTGCAAACTGGACTTGAATTCAGGAATTCAGGCTGTTGTTTCCTGAAGTCCAGCCTGGTCTGCAATTACCCTCTAGTATCCATTCAATCTATTTAATTCATGACCCTTAGTTAAATGTCAAGTGAACTGTTGAATGCATTTGGGCAAAATCCAGTTCTCCTCCTTTCCTTTCCCCCCAGTTCTGAGTCATGTGAAAATTAAAGCAGGTATTTCTCACAGTAGATACAGGCAACAAGAGTAAGAAAAAATACTTTCCTAAGTGCTTGTTAGCATCATCTGTGATAGTGTCGTCATGCCTGGCTCTAGCAAAAAGTTCCTGTAGGAGCCAAAGGCCGCTGTCCTGCCTTCTTCCACACAGCAATTACATGGATTTTGTGTGTGTGGCTTGGTTTAACTGTCAGTCTGTCAGTGCCACTGAAATGTAACAGCAAGCTTTGGATTTTCTCAGTTCTGTAGATGGTAATTTCATTGCATGGAGCACATGCTTTCTTTGCCTCTAGTTCCCGCTTTTTTTCTTTTCTATTTTATCAGCTTTGCACAATCATTATCCAATGTTTGTAAGAAGGTCACTGTACCAATGGTCAATAAAATGTATTTCACTAATGTTTGTTGATCGCTCTGAAGAAATTATAATGTGATGTGTCTACCAGTTTTGTAGTGTTTTCACCATTATTTTTTTTTTTCAAAGCTAATACATCTAGGTAATGTCTCTGAGTAAAATAAAGTGAGACATAATTTGTGCAGGAGAAACAGGATGAGTCACCTGAATCTACAGAGACAGTGTGGAGTTTTCCTACAGAGGAACTG